TACTTTTTTTGCAAATCTAATTTGTCATTGTGAGAGTTTAAAGATCAGTTGTAATCAAATTGGTTTGTTGAATTCAGATGTTGTTAATCACATAATCAAATAAGTTATCACACCATGGGAATGAACTACAAGAAACAGTACGCAGACAAATTGAAACTCATTCTGCACTCAAGAGCCACATAAGAGGTTGTCCCTCTTTTTTGTCTGCGGTTTGTGCTGCCTTTTCTTTTCAATTTTAATATAACTGCCAACATCTGTGATTTTCTTGTAGGCCTCATACACTGAGATATTTGAAGTTATTAAATGATCTCCTCTTTTTGCAGTTGATCTTGAATTTGGCATTAATGTGTTTTAGCGTGTCTTAAAATCTAGCCAAATTAGATTTTGCTTTAATGAAAAAAAATCTAGCAAAACTACAGTTTCATACAAATTTCATCATCTGTACTGAGTACTTAGTAATCTTCTATGGTGTGATGAGCACTGGTATTCAAGCAACATCTGTTTATCAGTCTGTTCCTAATTGGAGTCATCATAAACATTCAGTTATGTTTTCTCAGATTTTTGTGAACTATAGTCAAAGGAGCTCTGCTGTAATCCATAACACAAGCACAGTCTAAGATGCTTGATAGATGCCAGTGTCTGTGTTGCAACAGCATGTGCACATCAACCATGTTGTAGTTGGGCTGGTGAGATAGTTCATCTTTCACTTGATCATGAACAGAATGCCCCGGGGAAGCTGGTTAGTCATGCTATATCAGTAGGTTTGCATAAAACGTGTAAGATGATCTTATGGTGCTCGGGTATCTCCCAGTAGAACTACTGCCAAGAGCAAAAGGGTTTTTCCAGGAATACCGGGCCCTGCTGTTCCCTAACTCCCCCCCCCCACCTCAATTCTCCCGGCCCTCCTCCTCTCCCACCACCCCTCCCCTGGCGCTGCGCCAGTCTTCCCTCGAATTCCACGCATCTGGTCATTTCTGGGAAACACCCATGACAGGACTGTCCAGCAGACCACAGGAAACAAAGCCTTTTGGTTTCTGCAGCAGCTTGAGGAAGTCCAGTAGTCGCTTCCGGGAGGGGTCAGGCAGTAGGGCAAGTGGTAGTTGACTTTCTAGGAATTCTGTGTGGATAGGAACATTGTCTTGTTCTTTACTTTTTTGTGTTTAGAAGAGAACATTCAGCTTTTTTATGTTGTTTAAATTTAAATAGTCTTCATCTCTCTTTTTAATATAGACTCAGGACATTCGCAAAATAACTGGTGTTGTCAGAGCAGTCAATGAACAAAAGGGCAACTCTTTCATTGCCTCTTCGGGACACAAGTATCTCTGTGGATGCTAATATAATTAAAATATCTTTCAAAAAAGCTTGTTTGCACTGCGCTGCAAACTTGCCAAGGCTAAATAAAAAATGCTCCAACACTTGAACTACTCTGGTTCTGACCAGAGGCCACGCTGAAGTTTTCTTTAGACTGATTCTTTAGAGGGAAATTGCAACTACTTAGCACCTCAGGGGCATGATGTACCCTCAGCTGTCTTCCTTTTCTCTATTTTAAAGTGTTGTGAATGAGTCACTCATGCTCTCATTTTAGAAAGTGAATCAACCAGCATCAGAGGAAGACCTCAGAACAGAGGAGCAGCAGATGGCTTTGGCTTTGTTGTATGAAAATATTGGACAGACCCGGCTGCAAAGTATTAGCGTTTCTTAGTGTAGGTGTTTAAATATTTGAAAACAGCAGAGGGGCACAGTTTTCAGCTTCATCTTGACAAATGGGCTTGTAAATCAGATCAGTTTTTACTCACTGTGAAGAACACTGAACACACCTCTGCTGAAATATTCTGGAACTTACTGTGCTTTTCTCAGTGGCCCCAGCGTACAATAGTGTACAGAGTAGGTTGAAAAAAGTACAAATTTGCAAATATAAAAAATAATGAGCCTTATATGTTCTTTATGTCCTACAGTTGCCCCAACCACCACACCACGGAGATGACTCTACAATGAATGACTAGATGTTGCATCAGTATTAATAATACAACAACAGAGAGATACTCACTCTTCCTCTCTTTCCATTAAATATTTGGCTGCATATCACCTCTCTGTGACGTCAGTCCCACTGATTCAGACCAGAGCGCTTCCATCACCATCAGAGCAAAACACACACATCCAGTCTTCAAGGTCTGCTTCCACAGAATGAGACACGGTGCCGACATTTATTTACAAACAGCGTGCATTACTGCTCTCTAGTCACATGTCTTGTATTTGGCTTTATAAACCTTTGCAAACTCATGGGTAGAGGCTGAAAGTTCACGTCATGTGGTTCTCAAGGTAGTCTCTAGTGTTGTTATAGGGCCACAGGTCAAGTTCTTTAGTTTCAAGAGTCAAGTCTCAATTCCCGGCTCTTAATTCTTAATAGGTGGACCCATGAATATTAATGGTTTAGCTGACCAGTGTCTGTGAAATAGTACTTTACTGTGTTTTCCATTCTGTGTCAACTAATGTGAAGGAACTCAAGAAAAGGTTAGTCAGTTTGCAGTCGTGAATAGTAGCAAATAGTCCATCATTTCAAAAAATATTCTTTATTTACTTAATCAGAATATAGGTTTCTTTTAGTGCTGCAGCTAACGATTATTTTCATTATAGGTTAGTCTGATAATTATATTCTCTATCATTTGATTAATCATTTGTCTTAAAAATGACGTTGTTGTTGTTTGATGCAAACAAATTGCCTAAAACAGCAAGACACTTAGCTATCAATATGACAAGGAAAAGCATTATATTCTCACATTTGAGGAGCTAGTACCAGCAGCATTTTAACTGCTAAAATTACTTAAACACCGGAGGAATTGTCGAAATTTTTTTCTGTTGATTGACTAATCAATCAATCCACTAATTGTTGCTCTTTTTTGGATTAATTCAACAATCTAGGTGATAATCATACTTTTAACAGAGCACAGTGTAACACAGCACAACACACACTGTCTTTTATTACTTTGATGGATTCTTGTTTCTAATTAAAAGCTAATTTGCATTTTTTCTCTATATTTGTCCACATTTTCTACCGGTAGAGGCATAATGTGCAGCAGGAGTCATGACTTTTGGTCACATGTGGACAACATCTGTGTAGAAATGTCTTTAAACTGATCTACTCCTCTGTTTTACTCCTTTGAAAATCTCAGTACTTCTAAGCGAAAAACGAAAATGATGAGCCTTATCTATGAAACACAGAGAGGACTTCATGTGGTCGCTCAGTGGACACACAGTGTTATAAAGACACATGAATCTTTTCTGCCTCTGTGCCTCTTTCAGGCTCTGTCTTCCAATGTCTCTTACCTTATTTTCTCTCTGTATCTCTCTTCCTATCACTCCTCCTTTGGCTTTTGTACGTCTTACTGCCTTTGTTTCTCTACTACTCTCTACCCCAGATGTTAAGAGTCTATGCGTCTTGTTGATCCAGAGGCTGTTAATCTGGTAATCCACAATCGATATCAGCCTCATCTCTTTCCTACAGATAAAAATGGCCTATCTGATAAATATTTTTTCCTCTGTGTCTGTAAAAAGCTGCCCTTTCCCACCGAGCTTTGTTTTGGTCCCTGGGATTCTTCTACTGGTATTGATTCCGTCTGTCCACATGCACTGGGCCGTTTTAGACACATAACTCTCATGAATATATGTGGCTTTTGCACAACCAAACATGTGTGTCTAGATTGTGAAAACAAAAACAATCACAATTGGTACATTTTCATAATTATCATTGGTTAATTTACAAATGAATCAAATGATCAAAACAGTACTACAGTACTTTCAATCTTACATATTGAAAGTGTATTTTTTACAGATGAACTCACATGTTGCACTAGAAATATATAATTAAATGATTATTGTTTGAAAAGGAGACATGAGCCTCGTGGGTTTTTGTGTAGTGCTCTAAATTGTAACAGATGAAATACAAAACTAAATTCATCAAAGTCACTGGTCTATTTTCAGATGTTGAAATTGCTAAAATATAATTGTTTTCAGTCCAGTAATTTCATGGTGTGGTCTTTGGCTGCGGTTTCCTGCAGCCCTCATGTTGGGTAATTTAAATGAAAACTAAGTTGATTTGCTAATTGAGTGAAAACTGAGGCTCCTGAACTTGTGGCCTTAGAGTCACTGAGACACTTGAGGTTAGCTCCTATCCGTGCACGCCGGGTGTGTGTGTGTGGCTGAGACTCTGTGTTTGTGTGTGAGATGGGAAGGGAGTGGGACTTTTTTTTTTTACGCGCATGTGTTTGATCTTGTTTGCAGAAGTATGAGTGTGGCTGCGGTTACTTGTGATCAAGCAAAGACTCACCGACAGGACATTTTTGTCATGTTTTTGGTCACGGTCATGGTCAATCAAAAGACATGAATTCATTCATTGTCATATTTTGATGATACACATATAATGGTTTTCCCTTCTCTTTCTCAGTCAGTGCTGGGAGTTTGTTGTTCACTGCCTTTAAATGAAGTGTTTGTTAGTATAGCCCTTGAACTTGAAGACTTACTAATCATGTTTTTGGAGGGGAAAGACATATTCAGTAGTTGTACACCAAACCCTAATGATATTATTATGATCCTTGCTTGTATAGTAATTCATACATAAAAAACATTTCTGTTGCATTTTTACTTTTGTTCAAAAAGAAATTAGAAGATGGTGAGGGAAAACTATAAAACATCGTCTTCTGGAACATTAAAATTTAAGGAAATATAGTAGAGATTCCCTCATAATATTCATACAGGTTTTAAGTTGCACATTGAAAGTGGTTTATTTAACTTCACTGGTTTTGAGAGTAAATCAGGCTAGTTTGTTAAGTGTTTGTTTGAGGACACAGTGTGTTCCAGGTGGTAGCTCCGTGTACAGCCAGTAGGGGGAATCGACTGCCCGCACTGACGCCTTCCCCCTCTCGTCTCCACTCCTCTCCTCCTCTTCCCTGCGTTCTCCCAGGTTGTGGAAACGCTGCAGCCCGCTGGTCTGTCTCTGGGTCCCTCTCTCGCACAGAGCTGCTCAAGACCCTCCTACCGGCTGGGCTGTGGAAGGAGGAGGCAGTCTGCTCTGCTCACAGCCTCGGACGAGCCCCCTTTACCGCCCTGTCAGTGTGGAGGAAAAGGAGAGAGAGAGAGAGAGAGAGGCTGAGAGACTGAGTGATAGAGAAAGCGCACGCAAGAGAGAAAGAGAGAGAGAGAGCAACTGTGTGACAGAGGGAAAGAGAACAAGGCAGACTGCTTAGAGGAGTGAGAGAGCCAAGGACGAAATAAGGAACACATTTTACAAGAGCAGGAAGAGGGAGAATCGCAGACGAGGGACTCCTTCTCTACTGAGCACCTGGGACACAGACACTGTTCTTTTTTTTCCAGTCGTCTACTAGCTGGAACCCAGTGGATTGACTAACCAACCGGTGGATTTTTTAATATATACGCTTTGTGCCACATTATATAGAAACTGGGATAATTTCCCTGTGTTATCTGCTCTCTAGCTGGGTCGACCGCTACGGACTGAGATTGCTTTCTGGTTCTGTGCTCGACTCTCATGTTGTGATTCTGCTCCGTGCACAAAGTGCATCTGTCGGCAAACGGTGCTGAAGATATCTCCCCTCTGTCAAACAGGACAGCACGCAGCCACCGTCGGATCAGACTACAGAGGAGAGAGAGAGAGAGAGAGAGAGAGACAGAGAGACTGTGTGTATGTAAGAGAGGGAAAGAGAGAGAGGGGCAGCGAGAGAGAGTCAGATTCACAGTGTGTTTGAGAGGGAGGCAGATTAAAGCCCAGGCGAAAGACTGGAGTGAAACAGCTTAAATAGAGAAGTGAACCTATACGTCCTCTCCCGTTTTCCTTGCCATCCCTTTCCTCCTCCTCTCCTCCTCCTCTTCCTCTCCCGTTTTCCAACATTCACAGGACTGCCAGAGCTACTGCCACCTGCGCCTCTTCACGTCTTCTCTTTCCCCTTCTTCCTCTACCTCACCCTTATCACGCGTTACTATCCGATACCAGCCACTGACGGACACGCTGCTCTTGGTTTCTAGCACTTGTGGAAATATTTCCATTGATCCAGCAGTAAGAGACTGAGTGAGCATCCGCCCGATACTGAGGCTCCGGACCGGTGAGGCACCGTTTGTCAGGAGCTTCCACATCAGAGGCAGACCTTCTCTCAGCCACTGTCCGGCACGCAGACCCTGCCTTTTTTCCCTTGAGGACTGGATAGCGACACAGTGGTGCCGACAGTAAAGACAGGAATCACACAGCTCCTCTGCTGTCTCTATCCCATTGCTAGCTACTTGGCAGCTCCCGCCCCCGTGTCACCATTCCCTGCCTCAGTGCTAAGGATTCCAGCTACATGGGCAAGCGATTGGAGCAGCAGCCAATGTACCCTCAGTACACCTACTACTACCCCCACTATCTCCAGACCAAGGTATGCTTCTCTTCTGCTCTTCTTGCATTCCTCAAGCCCACTCATCTGCTCCTGCACTTATGTCCAGCCTCCCTCCCTCACCCTTACCACCTCTCCCTCTCTCTCTCCCACCTCCTCTCCTCCACCACCCTCCTTTCTTCCCCCCCTCTCATCCCTGAGTGGAGATGGGATTTGATGGATAGCTGGCCTTGGCTGTGATGGTTTCAGATGGCAGGTACCTCATTGGGAGTTTGGATGTCTGTGTCAGTGTGTATGTGTGTGTCTGAGTGAAGGATCACGGATCAGGGATCAAGGCTGGAGGTTATGGGCTACTGTTAGTCCAGCTTACTAGACTGTTACTGGGAGCTGTCCACTAACGTCCATCCATCCCTCACTTGCAAACCGATGAGCTCTTGATGTGATACGCTGCAATGGCATGAAGTGTAACATGTTAAATAACATGAGAGGCTTTTGTTAATCAAAATATTGGACAGACAGCTCTTTTTGTCCTCTCATACATTAAACAAATGAGAGAGTCAGGATCCAGATTTAATTTACTAATGAAGTATTTGAATGAATGTAGGCCATTGTTTAAATGCTTCAATGTCACTTTTCTAAAGAGGCATATTAAACATTTAATTCTGTAGTTGCTAATCCACTAAACAGCAAAAATTCCTTGCGGTGCTTTACGACGATGTGAGAAATGGGTTATGAACCCTTCTTTTTGTATGGTGATGGCCGGTATGGTTCAGACAGAGAGCAGGCATGAGGAAGGCTGCCCGTGTTTGCTCTAGCTGTAGTATGCATCAGTGGCTCTGGGATGGAAGCCCAGGCCGGGGCCCTGATGGTTGCCAGGACCCTGGCTGGGCGCACTACCCAGACATCATCAAGGGATTAAAATGGAAGCCTTTTGGGGATTACTCTATTTGTTTTTCTACTACATGCGTAGCACTAGTTTCTGCCCATTATTGTGTTGGTGACTTGTTGTAATGCACGGGAATGGCTGAACAACATACTAAAGGTTTATGCAGTTACTAAGTCCCAGTTGGTTACTGAAGGACTATTGTACGTTATAATATTTCTTTAAACACAAACAAAACAAACAACAATTTATATTCTTTATTTTCTTTTTGTGTGATGCACTAATATTACTGTTAAACGTCTCCAATTACATGCGTGGAGTAATAGATACTGTAAGCTTGGGTATTGAACCTTAATACTTACAGCACATAACCAAATGTGTTCTTAACATTGAGAATAAAATTAATTGTGTCAGGTATTGCAAGTTCACATTTAATAACTTGACAGATTTAAGGCTTGTTTTTTAATCTTTAATCAGATATTTCTTGATCTTTATTTGGAAATTTTCCTAACTAAAGTTCTTTATTTAACACCGAAGCATTGAACAAAAAAACAATATTTAATTTTCCCCATACAAAAGGAAAGGAGAAAAGTATTGTTTTGATTTTGGTTGCAAAATGTTTATTGGCAAATGTGTTGAACAAGCTTTACTTAACCAAGGAATAAAAGCCAAAAAAAAAAACATGGGAAATTTCCACTATTTATTTGAAGGAAATAAGGAAGAAAGAAAAGTTGCTTAAGCAATTAATGAATCAAAAGAGTTGACAAAGTACAATAAAGCAAAATACCAGTGATATTTTCATCCTTTTGCATGTGGAGCTGGATTTTGAACCATTGCGCTTCCAGCAGGGAGGACCTGCCTGCAGCCCCACCTGGCAGTCCACTAGCTCTCCCCCTGATTTATAGTTTAATACATTTGTGCTGCTGCCATATGGCTTCCCTCTCCCTCCCACCCCCCTGCACTACTCCCTCCATCGCCCCCCTCTCTCTCCCTCCCCCTCATATCTCAGAGTTGCTCATCTCGGGGGCCTCTCAATCAGGGTATGCCCCTCGATTCTCCTCTCCCTCCCTCCCGTACAATTTTCTTTTCCCCTCTTCCTCTCTCCTCTCGCTTTCTGCCTCCTTGCTCTGTTGCAACAGGGCCCCCTGCCTCCTTTGCCTGCGCTGCAGTTCACTCCCAAGGTCAGCGCAGATCCGATCTTGCCACCGTCAGCGATTGATGTATCCTTGAGCGAGTCGCTAGGGTCCTGTGTCATGCAAACAAGACCCATGGTGGGGGCGTGGGGTGCGAGAAGACCATACATTTCCGTTTATAAATCAGCAGCCAATATTCATATTCATTTTCATGGTTACTTAGCATAGCCAGTGGCCTTGTAGGTTGATATGATAGAGCCACAGACAGGGTCAATAGGAGCAAGGGAGGCGGGGAGAGAGGCCCGAGTGTTGGGCAATGTGGCCGAGAGGGCCGTGGAGAGCTATGTCACGCTCTCATTAATGATCATTGATAGCTCGATTACAGAGAGGGAAGAAGGGCCTTTGGCTGGCAGGTTCAGTCCACCCAGTCTACAAAATCACATGGCAGTCACTTTTGCCTTCCATGCACACACACATACAAAAAAGAATTTCACTGCAAATCCCATTATTTTGCAGACATACATTAAGATTTTGGCATCAGTGTCAAATCACACTTTCTATCCATCTTCATTGCTGCATTCTCAAGGTATGGCCTCATTCTCCCAAGAGATGTGGGTGGGGGGCATAAATATCTTCCAGGGATAGGGAGGGGGAGTGGGGCGTAACTCATACCAAAGTGTTGCCATTCTCCTTCTCTCGCCTGCATTTTATGACGCATATTTGAGATTCTATGCATAGAAAATTTATAGAACATCTGCGATCAGTTACAACTACGGACTTTATTGTAAAAAAAAAAGGAGCTAAGATTGTCATAATGGCATGGCAGAATCAACTGAGACGCCTTCTGAATTGGGGTCCCTTTATCCCCTCTGTATGTGTGTATTATATTCTAATTTAATGGAGTTCTCTGATGCTGTCCAGCATGCGCTAGTCAGCCCAGATTAGAATGTGAAAGTCAGAGAATGAGATGAAACAATAACATTTGGCTTTCTATTGATTAGTGCAGTGGGGCGTAGCATGTGCTTCTCTTTAGCTGAATTATTGATTCCTGAAAGAGGATTTGTGTGTCTATGTGTCTGTGTGAGCACATTAGTGTGTGTGGCTTTTATATAAGGTTATGGCTGGGGGGAGCTGGCAGGATGCTGCTTTGATGAGAGGATCCTTTAAAGGCCCTATTTCTGTCTATTCCCCAGCTGATCAGTCCATCGAGTCATTTGCTGAAATTTGGCCTTTATTCAGCCTGTGTCTTTCCGTGCGAGTTTGATGTTCACTGCTGTTCACAGCTTGCTTTGCATTCAACTTTAATGATAGGTAATAGATGTGCATCATAAATGAGAAAATTACAGTAAAATGCCTCGCTGTGGCCCGGTCCCTCCCCTCACCCACGCGAACAATTACAGCACACAGATCAATTATTGTTATTTCATGATAGTGTTTAGGAAAGAATATGAATTTCAACTAAATATGTGCACTAAGTGCCTGTTAGTCTTGGCGTGCGCCATATCTCATTTTCTCTCAATGACAGGCATTTTCAGTTTCATTATTACACTCACAACTCTCAAAAGGAACTCTCAAATTACTGATAATTTGCCTTGAATACCTGCAGTAAATTCTGCCTCTGTTGTGAAATTTAGTTTAGTTTACTGTTGCTGTTTCTGTATGCACACAAAGTACCTGGCACTGTACCCTTGTGCTGTCACGCCACTGATAGGATTGGTCATTACATGCCTAATGTCAGCGATCTCACAAACAGGCAGCCGGCACACAGACACACAAGAATGCACTACAATAGTGTATGCACAAACTCACTTGCGCTGTGGCTGTGATCTGGGATAGGGCAGGCGTCTGTGTTACAGTCAGACTAGTACATACAGAACCTGAGAAGCCGAGAGGGGCAGATTGAGGTAGATTTAGCAGCGGCTAATGTCACTGGCCTTAAGTAAACACCAGTCAATGGAGCCCTTTGAGAGGATCTGTGCCTGTGTCTGCCCCTGCCATAGGCACATTTATACTGTCTAATTCTTTAGAAATGGAGGAAGAAATGGAGGGAAGGGGGTGTATATGCGTGCGAGAGAGAAAGAAAGAGAGCAGAGGATGGATGGTATTGGGAGGGAGGGGCCTTTTAAAAGCAAAGAACAGGGTTTGGCTATATTACACGGGGTGATCCATTGTGCTACAGAAATAATAACAGAGCCATCTAAATCCTCCTTTAATGCCTCGATAGAGGAGAAAGAGAAGCATAGAGACAACAAGGGAGAGACAGATATACATAGACATGGAGAGCAAGCAAAATCAAAGGCAAAAAAAAGGATGAGTTTCCAAAGTCTTTCATTGAGTCAGTTATCAGTGGTGTAAAACTCAGCTAGCAGCTTAGTCCCCTCTATCTCCGCTGATGTGGATCTGCTTTGAAGAGTTTATCAAGGGCTTTTAGGGATGGAAAAATACACTTCTTATATTACATTTACTAAAGCCCAGCCCTATTTTGAGTCTGGGACGATATGTTCTTATTAGTACTAAGACAGGGGTAGTATAACTAATTTCCCCACTTCTAATTCCTAATACGTGCTTCACGACTGACTGCCCGAAACAAAATACTGTCCCGGCCTTGCTGTAAATCTTAACCCATCTTGCACCTCTTAGCTAGCTCAGATTGGCAGGCTTTTTAGCGAGAGCTCTTTCTTGCTTTTTTTCACCTCACATGATCAAACAATGACAGGAGGCCTTTTGATCATTAATCAACTAATACCTCTGGTCTTTATCTGCCTACCCTACAGCTTTATCCAGCAGTACAATCCTTCTACATGTAGCTGTCAGTCAATGTGGCAGTCAGTCAACTCCATTTATTTGCTATGGCCCGTGTATATGCACAAACATGCACACACGGACACACACTGCATTAGGAGGTACTCCTTAACCCTTCCCATCTATCAACTGACAGCTCAGCCCTATCTGCGCACCCATACATTAAGGTGGTGTGTGCATTACTGCTTCCCGCAGACTCTCATAAGCCACAGAGCAGGGTGCTG